AGTACGTTTAAGATTTAAAAAATAATTTTCGTACTTAAGTACAATAAATATCACATACTTTAAGACTTTTACTCAAGTAATATTCTAAGCGGTGACTTCAACTTCTACCAAAGTCATTTTCTGGTAAGCTATCTGTACTTTTACTTGAGTATGGCTTTCAGGTACTTTATACACCACTGGTCATTATACTTGTTTATGTGTCAATTTAAGCTGTACAAAACTGTGATTTAGTAGATTGCCTACTGCCAGTAGATTTCCTCTATTTTTTATTTTTTTTTTTACATTCTTTTCTTTTGCCGGCATCTAATGCTCACTTAAGGTTAATGGTTAAAATAATGTAATAACACTGTTAAATGTCATCTTTAAAAATTTCAAAATGAATAGTCATTTTTAAGACTACATAATTTTGTGATGACCAAATTCATCTTTTTTTAAACAAAATATTTTAGAATTTTTTAAATTGGAAATGTTTTGGTTATTGGCTACGACATTAAAATAATTATCAATTTATTATTATTAAATGTTAATATTGGTGCATACCTACACTAAACCAACAAGTCATACTTGAATCCATATATTTAATACAGTGTTACTTTAATATCATTGATATATAGTTTTTGTTCATATTTTATAAAAAAATAGTGTAGATGAAAAAAATAGCATTTATTTTCCATTTTCATTTGAATTTGAATTTTAGTTGAAGTTTTAGTAACATTGTTGTGTTTTTGTCATTTTTTGGGGTTTTATTTTATTATTTTTTTATTTCAGTTAGTTTTAGTTATTTTAGTACTTCAAATTAAACTATTAATTACTAGATAATGTAATGGTTTTAGTTTTAATGATTTCATTTTTTTTTTTTTTTTAGCATTTTAGTATAAGTTTTAGTTAATGCAAAAACCCCTGATTTATTCACTATTCTCTGATATCCCAGGACCAAAAGTGACATAGGAATAAAATTATTAAACATCACAGTTCATTTGAGCACTTAAATTGTACACTGATTGAACACTTCCTCAAATCATTGTTTAATTAGGATTTAGTTTTATGTTGACTAATAACTCTATGTTTTCACTCAGCAACTCCACTGAGATTGCTGCTTAAAGGATTTTTGGGCATTTCTAATTATAATGTTATTGTTTAAATGTCAGTTTTGAGTCTGTAATGTGTGAATACTAAACTACAGGCCTTATCTCTGAATCAGTTGATCACATAACCTGTTGATTTATCTAAAAAAAAAAAGATAATGTTAATTAGAAGATAATTTTTAGAGCATAACCTAATTCATATTCATAAGCCTTTACCTTTTTTGACATCACAACCTGCACGTCTGCAATGCACATGACTATGTCAATGTTTTTGATTGGTTGGCTTTCATGTTTCCTGTTTGAACACACTTTATCAAAGGCCAGATTAATGGCAAGGGTGACATCAAACATATATTTATTTGAAACTTGTAAAGTATGAAACTGTAATGTATATTTGTCATATTATTGTTCCACAAAACAAATGATTTGCATTGCCTGCACGTCCCGTCTGCCAATGAAACATTTATTAATGTAAATACCAATTGGCAATCAATAAACAACTAGAGTGCCTCCCCATATGCAAACACTGTCCTCATTGAACATATTGACAGCGCAGTGCCGTGTCCAACCTGAACAATTACAGAGCTGTTTCCTGCTGCCTTGCTCTCAAATTGATTCTCTTTGAAGGCCTCAATTTGTGTTTTAGTACTGTTGATTTAATGTTTTCAACCAAACAACTTTTTTCTCAAAGGCATTTTACTTTTTAGGGTCAAATTGTCTAGTAATGTACTCGAAGTTAACTGAATAATGCTTATAGTAGCAAAATGAATGCCTGGTGCCAGCACAAATTTTGATATTTATATGTTTACACTACCGTTTAAAAGTTTGGGGTAAATTATTTTTGTTTTAAAGAAATTCATATTTCAGATTTATGTTCACAAGGACACATTAAATTGATTAAAAGTGACAGTAAAGACATTTATATTGTTATAATGTAGCAGTTTCTATACGAAATAAGTACTTTTGAAGTTTCTATTCATCAAAGAATCCTGAAAAATGTTTTATAGCTCCCACAAAAATATTAATATGAACATTAATAATAAGAAGAAATATTTCTTGAGCACCAAATCAGCATATTAGAATGATTTCTGAAGGATCATGTTACTGGCTGCCGAAAATTTAGCTTTGCCATCACAGGGATAAATGACATTATAAATATAATCAAATACAAAATAGCTATTTTAAATATTAAAAATATTTCCAAGTTTTTGCTGTAATTTGAATCAAATAAATCAGCCTTGATGTCATAAGACAAAGCCAGAAGACTCGCCGAATGTGTTTCTGGTCGGAAGAAGATAGACTTTCATTTTGAGGAGCAGATTTAAATTAGATCTAACAATGCTTTACCAGCTTTACCAGCACATATTTCCTTATTTTGGTGGTTATATTTGTCAAACATCAAACAAATGGACAAAATGAGTTCACCTCTTCATTTACATACTCAGGATGTAATTGATTCAAACTCTAGTAGATCTCTGCCAACTGCCAACTATTGTAAGCGAAACCACACGGTAATTTACAGTAAGTGGATGGGATAGCGTAGGACGGTACTTTATTAATCTCCTGGGTGAAATTGACGTTAAAGCAACGTCTCTCTGGGCTTACCATTTATAGATTGAGGTGAAAATATTTGCCTTGGCTGTGTAGTTTTTGCAGGAGAGTAAGATGTCCTAAAAGACCTGCCAGTAATTTACAGAGGTGTAGTATCTCTTTCATTGCCCCTGTTTCCCCATTTGTAACATTTAGAGTGCTATTTTTCATGACTAAATTATGTAAAAGTCCTAAACAACAGGCTTTCTGCCAAAGACTCACTGTTTTGATTGGATCCTCCAGTGGCTTCCATGCCTGGCTAACTCAGCACACTGACACAGATGTAGAGTAGGAGGGTGTGATAGAGACTCTGTGTCTCTACCTGATAATAAGACATCATGAGGATACGTCTGTCTCAAGCTGGAGATAGCACATTCTGTTTGGGAGGCTTGATACATTGTTGTGATGTTTAGGGTATGTATTTCTCCTGCAATATGACATCCATCGTTGATCTGCTTACAGAGTTTTCGCGGGTGGTTATCGACTTGATCTACAGCTGATAGGGAGCCATTCGGTAGAATGTGGCTTTGGGAATTTGCTAATAGAGAAGCAACTGTTGGTTTTAACAGGTACAAATAGACATGTTTTTCTGTTTATCAAGTTGGCATTTATTAATCGCCCTGTGGAAGCTTTTACAAAACAGAAAATCATGGTGACAACTGTTTTAACAGAAAAATGCACTTAGAATGTGTGAGTAAAAGAACTATTATCTTGCAAATGTAACTACTTTGGGGAAAATTGCTCTCAAAATGCTTTAAATTCAGAGGACACATATAGTATACTCATATTAAGCAATATACTATATAGCAAATCTCGGCAGCTGTATACTGTATATTGTCACAAAAACTGTAAACTGTATTATTGCTCAGTATAGAATAACTTCATTCAAATTCATTTACATACAATATACTCAAGTGGGGTGATATATACTATATCGCTTATCTCAACGATTGCTTGTATCTTCGCAAAAAAGAGTGTACATATGTCATCACCCAGCTCTGCTAAATGCAACTATAAGACATAAAGATATTGAGAAATTATAAGCACTTTACTTTTTTTGTATTGTTATTTTGCATTCTAACCAGTTAACCGAGTGGCTTTTAATGCATATACAGTATGCAGTATTATATGCGACTCTTGAGTTCTGCTTTTTAAACTGCTGTTTTGTTACAAACTTTATGAAATATGATCATCATAATTATAATAGGAATAGAAAAACACCTTACAGATTGGATGTGATATATATCATTGGTAAGGTTTCAACTTGTTGAAATTATAGTGACTACACTCTAAAAAATGCTGGGTTAAAAACAACCCAACTTGGGTTATTTGGCAACCCAGTGCTGGGTAAATATTGGACAGAACACATGCTGGGTTATTTTGACCCAGCTGGTTGGGTTAAACGTTTTTACCCACCATGCTGGGTTGTTTAATATATTGTTTAAAAATGATTATTGCTGGCTTAAAATGGGCTCGAAATTAAAAATCACACACAGAATTACCATAGGCAACAGCAATAATCAAAAGATGAACATTTATTATTAAGCAAGAACACCCATGGACAAAATACAAGACAAATTGAATTTATTTGGGTGAATACAGCATAGTTTACAACATTACATCCATTTAAACTCGTTTAACAAGCATTTTAGAAATAAAAAGGCATATAGAAGTAGCATTTTAATTTAAGTGTATTCAATCGTTCTCTGTAATTGCTTTTTACCGAAATAGTGCTAATTCTCGTGCCGGTGTGTCGCCGAAATCTGAGCCGGTGAAGGGCTGCTGTTCGCGGGGGAACTGCAAACTTTAGACCGCGGCCTCACGTTTCACTCGTAGCTGAGAGATGGCGTGACTGACTCCAAGACCCTGCCCAAAAACAAACAGTAATGAAATTAGAGAACATATTTTAACATCAAATTAATTTACACTCAGTATTATAACGAATAAAATCTATTTATGTTATGCAAGGCAAAGGTGTTTCCAGCGCGAAACGACTGCTGCTGACGCAGCTGACTAACATCTCGTCTTTATGTTGCGTTGCGTAAAATAATATAACATTAAAGACTTTATGAATGAAATAAAATGTATACAAACCTTTATTCCCCGAAAGAGTGCACCAAATCGCAGCATTTTTTAGAGTGCATTTGTATTTAAACAACAACAACAAAAAACCCTCAGACACACATGTAAGGGGGCATTCACACAGAACAACTGAAGTGAATACAAAACCAAAGTTGAACTGTTTTTAAACTTGGCACATTATCTTTAAAAACATGGTACATTGAAATTGCAAAGCCCTAATGTCTTCCATGCCTCCCTCTGCAGGTAATTGACATAATTGTCCGTTAGCCGCTGCAGTCATGGATCTGAAGGACAGACGGCAGCGCTCTCTGACACAGGGTCAGCGCGGAAAGGATCTGCACTACGCCACATCCTCTCTGGACAGTGAGAACTACCATATAGTGTCACAGAAATCATACAGTTCCAGCAAAACGCTGAAGGCCTATCAGCAGGATGGACACCTGCGCTATGGAGGATGTGTTGCGGAGCTGGTGCACCAGGAGACAGAAGAGTATGTCAGACAAGGTGAGATTGTTACCTTAATTAATATATGAATGGAAGAAATCATAATGATAAATATGGTATCTGTTCTATTTGCTACGGTCACATTAGTGAAATACCAGCAAAATTTAGCAGACAAGAAAGGTCCATTTTCATTTTCAAACCAAGCAGCTTTCTGTTGGTCAACATGGCAAATTTTATGTGTACATCTATATATGCTCCCATTTAATATAACATCATATATTGAGGTTTAAAGCAAACAGAAGAATTTAACAAATGTATGTGCAATTCTTAAGTGCATGTTGGAAACAGCAGGTCAGAGTTTTCTCATTAGTTTGGGCTTTAATACAAATGCCATCATGGATGAGTATTATCCATTTTAACCCACATAATCCCCTTGTAATAAAAACAGAGACGATGATTTTCTGTGGTAAGTTTTAATTTGCAGCTATTGAAACTTTTGATCTGTGTGCATATACTGTGCCGGCATTTCATGACAAATATTTGTTCAAAGTTATTGTTCCTGTCATGCAAGTGACACTGACCTGGTAAACCGATTAGAGCAGTGATTCTGTAAAAAAATCATGTGGTACCTAAATCTAAATCAAATGACTAATTGAAGATAAATGAAAGATTTATTTTATATTACTAAAAGAACCTGAATATATTATACCATGGTTCCCAACTCTTTTTTTGGTCTTTAAATTTCACAGAAGCATTAAGTATAAAATGTCATTGCCATTTAAAAAAAATCTTATTATATGCCATTTAATTTTTACAGTGAGGATGGTCATATCAGGGTGTGATTTCAGTGATTGCCATATGAATATCATTGAGCACTTTCAATTGATGTGTGTATTAATGTTTACAGATTTTTCTTTTTGACAAAAGCTGTGTTCTGTCTGGTATTTAGCCATGAGCGTATTTGTCGATTAGGGTCAGATCACAGAGGAAATATTCTTTTGGTAAATTAAAAAAAAAAGTGTTCTTATCCTGAGAGACTGTTTTTACCAAGAAAACCCAACCCAATTGTTGTGAAAGCAGGTTTTGTTTTGCTCAAATTGATTTTGCTATGAAGTGTTAACTGGCTATAATTACTTTTCGACCAACTGACCTTATTTAGTTGTTGCACAGAAAATAGATGGTGAAAATGAAAGGCTTTGAAAACTTTGTGCCATGTTGAAAGCTGTCCTTACAAACACACCTTTAGCCAGGCTTGTCAATATCAGAGATAATAGAGGTGAGATGCAGTATTGAAGTAGGAACCTTCATCCTTTCAATATTTGCTCAGGCTGTCCTTTTCCTCACATTTTAAGTTTCATCTAGTAGAAAAACTGTGAGTTTTTAGATTTTAGAATGGCTGGCAGTTGCAACAGCTTACATGCATCATACAAACAGTTTTTATGAGCTTATATTAATTGAAAGACTACATCTTATATTTATACTTTTAAAGTAGGCCTAAGTCTTCTCATTTTTGTATCATGAATGATATTTCCATATGAAAAAGATGAAGAGACAGGCAAATATTAGTTCAAATGGATTGAATGTACCAAAGAGTAAATGGGATTCGTATATTTATTTAGTAAATTATTATTCTTTGACTTTGTGAAACAAATAATATATCATGTTTTTTTCTTTGTACTTACTCTCTTTTTTTCCCTAATATAAATATATATCCATCACAGAATCCTAAAAATATGCTTCACGGTTTCTAAAAAAAAAAAAATCAGCATATTAGTATGATTTCTGATGGATCATGTGACACTGACGACTGGGTAATGATTTAATATATGAAAATAGAAAACAGAATTTTAAACTGTAATAATATTTCACAATATTACTGTTTTAATGTATTTCTTGATTAAATAAATGCAGCCTTCATGAGCAAAACGGACTTCTTTTAAAAACAATACAAATTTCTTTTTGACCCCAAGCTTCTCAACAGTAGTGTATACAGTATTTATATGAAGGTATATTAATTTTTATTTCCATCAATAAATACATACATACGTACATACATACTTATATATATTGGTTGTAATAAGTTGGTTACACTTGTGAGATTTAGGTGAACTGCAAAACAGCCAAAAGGGTGTGTATATATTACTTACAAACTTATTATTAATCAACTACACTACTACATTAGTATGATTATGTTTGGGGTTTTCTGCTCTCGGTTCTCAGTCCGGATTGCATCCAGGATCACCATACGGTTATTTTGTCTGAATTCCACCAGCACGGTATTTCTGTGGAGACTCAGCCAAACTCGCAATACAGCCTGAAGCATTTTTTGTCAGGTTTTGATTCGGGAATGTCCAGGAGAGGGATGCTGCCTGTCATTCATTGTGTGTGTGTGTGTGTGTGTGTGTGTTTTCACAGGCTTCTGTTTTCCATAGATGCTGGCTCAGGTGTAGATCAAAAACATAACGAAACAGAAAATCTTTAATAGTCAGAGATGAGATGTGCTCCATTATCAGTGTCCACATCTCATTATAGCAAAGTTTCATCTACCTAAAGCAAGAGGTGACCTTGTCGTCACTTTTCTCCTTCACCGTGTGCTGTAAAAATAGCCCAAACCACTGAGACCGAGCTGCACACTGCTGTCTCATCTTTAGAGTGGATCAGACAGACTCAGACTTACAGAGAGAAAATGATAGACTAGTAGTCTCTAGCTTTCAGTAGCCTGAGGTTTCTGGTCCACACATTTTTTATTATTTTTTTTACCTGCCAGCTGTAGTCTGCTCCACATTACATCTGAACAAACTCACCGTGGATATGCTCATATGGTCGAGGGAGGAGTTTTTGGTTGTAGGACGGTCCAAGCTGGTGGTCCATGGCCGTAGTGAGTGAACAGGGCTCCGCAGGCAGCTTTGCCTCAGTAAAGGCCATATGGCGAGGGAGCTTCGGAAGAACGGGAGCACTCGTTATGGACATTTGTGGAAAGGAGTGCTCTGCCTCTTAGGCAGCCCAGAACCCTCTTATGGTCCCTTTAGTGCACTTTTTTTCCAGCACAACATCTGGTAGCATGGTCTTATCGTCCTCCATTCCATCTCTTACTAAGCAGAGCTGCTCCAAACATAGCAGAACATTGAGATTACAGTATGGGTAATGTGGGTAAAAGGGATACGGGAGAAATGATGATAGAGGAGAGTGAATCAGGCGGAAAGCAGTAACTATATCCATCTCTATGACCCTGTTTACACCTGGGATTAACATCCAGCTCGGATGATCCAATCAGAAGTGATCAGACAAGAGGGATTACAGTTTATACTTGGTATTGACATGTCGCGTGTCAAATGCATGGCTGGTGACCACTTCTGATCGGATTTCGTCAAGTGAATCGTCTCTGATTTCATGACCACACACATCAGATCAGCCTGTCGTGTACTGATATTGTCTTTTTTATGGCTGATACGATACAGGTTATGTTTATCTCTGATAACTGATATGTAGAATTTGAATTACATTTTTATTTCTGCTTTTCAGCAAAAAAAAATGTAATAATTCCACTGAAAAAAAAAACATAGCAAGCGTGGATAGGTTATTGTCATATTATATTATATTATATTATATTATATTATATTATCATTGTTGTATATATATATAATTAATAATTCAGATTATTTTTTATTTTCATTTAAATTTTAGTTGATGTTTTAGTAATTTTGTTGTGCTTTTGTCATTTTTATTATTTTTTTACTTATTTATTTTTAAACATGTCATATAGTCTTTGTTTCAAACCCTTGTTTTCATGCAGTAATTTTGTTATATGAGTAGGTGGTCCATGTTGTCCTTGTTGCATCAAGAAGCAAATTCAATGAGGACTTATGCATCCCTAAAGTCATTTTTCACTGGTAATCTTCACCTCCACTGTAGCTCTCCAATGTATATGGTGCAAGTTGAACTGCAATAACATCAAACCTCTATGGTTTGTGAGTGTCTCGTAATCAAACACAATGACATCAAACCTGCACCATATTTGATTTGATAGTAGTGAAGGTAAAATGTTGAGTGAATAATGACATTATTTTTGGCCTGTTTCTTACACACTTTTTTCATATGGCTTCAGAAGACTTGGAATAGTAATACTTTTATGATACTTTTTTCTTGATTAGCTCCAAATGAGCTTGATTAGCTTCAAATTAGCTTGATTAGTTCCATGGATCTTCACAAGAAGCTGCTTCAAACCCCCTTTTTCTTTTTCATGGAAAAAACTAACAGGGATGAAACATTAGATGGAGTATATAGTGACAATTTTCATTTTTAGTGAACAATTTCTTTAATACCAGGTGTAAACAGGACCTTAAGTGCACTAGCTGCAAAACCTTAAGCTTGCTTTACTAAAAGGAATAAGTAGTCTGTACTTTTCCTTTTTGAATTTTGCTCTCCCACATGATGGCTAATTTTAAATCTGCATCATATGGACTTGTCACTCAAGATCAATACCAATGTGACTGCATCGCTTTCAGGTTTCGATTTGTTTGGAGTAAGAGTAGGTAGTTTAACAAGCTCTTGATAGGATTTTCATCCACAATACAGCCGGTGGCCATCAAAGTCAACAGAGGGACGTGAGCAACGCTCACGGTCTTTAACTGACAATGAAAAGCAGATTATATTTTAATGCTGTTGTAACATTTTCCTAAACCCGCTGCCTGTTACAGGAGCTTTGAAGTATTGTGGGGGTCTAGGTGAGTCTCTATCGCAATTAGAGATCTTTTCCATGTTGAAGAGGGACATTAGGCCTCTGCTACAGAGTGGTGTGTAATGAGCAGTGCTTGAGATGTAATATTGGGAGAGCTCTTACTGGAGACTGTAGTGGAATAAGAATGAGAATGCACTAGGAATGAGAAGCTAAAATGGTGAAGATGAGTTAGCTGGTGTATAAACACCTAAACAGACCTATCTTGATGGCTGCTGGTTTTTCTGTTCATGGAGATGTCGACCTTGTGTAGCAAGAGGCAGTATGTTTGTGTGCTGTGGCATATGGACAATTTAAAAAAATGGTTGATACAATGGATTGCATT